GCTGGCAGTGCCAAGCAGTGGGTCGCAGCACTGGCTTTGCTCCGAGATGCGCTTCGGTCGCGCGACGCCGTCAACACCATAGTCTACAACGTGGCCATCACCGCGTGCGGGCGGGGCACGCAGTGGCGGCAGGCGCTGTCGTTGCTCGGCGAGCTGTGGGGCACCAGGTTGGAGCCCGACATCATCTGCAGCTGCGCTCGCCTGCCGCTGCCCGCCCCCACCCCGCCCTCGCTCTCTACCTCCCTCTCTCCTCCCCCGACCCCAGGCGGAGCAGTGCTGGGGGCAGTTCCTGGACCACGCTGGGGGCTCCTCTCGCCATCCGGAGGCATCTCGGAGGCATGGTGGGGCCTCTGGGGGGGGCCGCCTTTGGGGGCTCTCTCTGGCAATGTCGGGGCTAACTTCGAGCCTCGGGGGGCCCTCTTGGGGACTCCAGGGAGCATCCTGGGCCGACTTGGAGCCGTCTCAGGCGGCGTTGGTGGCGTCTTGTGGGCCCTTTGAAGGCCACCCTGCCATCGCGGACACCGACGGAGCTATCTTGGGGCTCTGGGAGGACTCGGACACAGCTTCGCACGCACCTCACGCACGACCGGAAGACGAGCCCACTGTTTCTGGGCGTCAGCAGCAGGAAACCTTCGCAAGCAGAACCAGCGGGCAGCACCAGCAGCATCAGCCTGCAGCAGTGAACAGCAGCAACGAGCGGCAGCCAGCAGCAGCACGTGTTTAGATCATCAACACTCAACAACAAGCAACATCACTAATCAGCAGCAATCAGGAGCTCGCGCCAGTGGAAGGCAGTATCAGCACTACGTAGCAAACAGCCGTAAGCAGCAACAAGCTGCACCTAGCAGCAGCAGCAGGCGGTAGTGAGCGACAGCGAGCGGATGAACCAACGAATCAGGAAAACACGCAATCATCTACACAAGCAGTTCAGCACGCAAGCAGGCAAGCAGGCTAGCGACCCCAACCCTTACATGCTAATGAGCTTTTGTTGGCGTAAGTGTATGGGTCAGCACCAGTCAGTTTCAATGCTGGAGCCAGCGCGTGCGAGAAGGGCGGGCAATGGCAACGGGCGCTGTCGTTGCTCGGAGAGCTGCGGGAAGCGAAGCAGCAGCCTGGCATCATCGTGTACAACGCTGGAGTCAGTGCCTGCGGGAAGAGCAGCCAGTGGCAGCAGGCGCTGTTGCTGCTCAGCGAACTGTGGGAGGTGGAATTGGAGCCGACCAGCACCTCTACTACAATGCCGCAGTCAGTGGGTGCGCAAATGTCCTCCGCGGCAGTGGAGCGGCCCCCCCCCTTGAGCCGCTCTGTCCAGGCCCTCGGTGCCGCCATGGTGGCTTCAGAGCGGCCCCTGGACGGTCCGGGACGGCCCGAGGCGGCCCGAGCGCGCTCTGAGCTCGCGCAGGACGACCCCAGCACGTACCGAGAGGGTCGCGTGATGCCCTCCGCTTTCCCCTGAGGCTCCCAAGAGGACCCCCTGAGGCAAAGCTCTTGGATTTCCTGTTTTTTTTGGTATTTTCTTGAGTGATTTTCGCGTTCCCGCCTTCTGTGGCTTCAGGCAGCCCGCGACGGCCTGAGGGACTCCTGGATCGCTAGGAGGAGGAGGAGGAGGAGGAGGAGGAGGAGGAGGAGGAGGAGGAGGAGGAGGAGGAGGAGGAGGAGGAGGAGGAGGAGGAGGAGGAGGAGGAGGAGGAGTTTTGAGTGATTTTCGCGTTCCCGCCTTCTGTGGCTTCAGGCAGCCCGCGACGGCCTGAGGGACTCCTGGATCGCTAGGAGGAGGAGGAGGAGGAGGAGGAGGAGGAGGAGGAGAGGAGGAGGAGGAGGAGGAGGAGGAGGAGAGGAGGAGGAGGAGGAGGAGGAGGAGGAGGAGGAGGAGGAGGAGGAGAGGAGGGAGGAGGAGGAGGAGGAGGAGGAGGAGGAGGAGGAGGAGGAGGAGGAGGAGGAGGAGGAGGAGGAGGAGGAGGAGGAGGAGGGGAGGAGGAGAGGAGGAGGAGGAGGAGGAGGAGGGAGGAGGAGGAGGAGGAGGAGGAGGAGGAGGGAGGAGGAGGGAGGAGGAGGGAGGGGAGGAGGAGGAGGAGGAGGAGGAGGAGGAGGAGGAGGAGGAGGAGGAGGAGGAGGAGGAGGAGGAGGAGGAGGAGGAGGAGGAGGAGGAGGAGGAGGAGGAGGAGGAAGAGGAGGAGTAGGAGGAGGAGGTGGCTCCTAGATCGCCCCAAGGCGGCCCAAGCGCCCAAGGCCTGTTTTGGTTGCCCCTGGGCCGCTTAGAAATCATTGATCTGTGTATGGTTCTTGCCTGACTTTCGGGTTCTCGCGATTTCGGGTCAAGAGCGGCCCAAGACGGGTCTTGGGGCTCGCGGACGCTCCAAGGCCGCCCAAGAGCTCCAGCAAGGGCCCCAAGACGGCTCAAGAGTGCTACAAGACGGCTGCGGGAGGAGCCAAGACGGCCCAAGCGAGCCCCAAGACAGCGCGAGAGAGCCCCATTCAGCCCCTGAATGGGCCCCAAGAGCCGCCCAAGAAGGCTCACGGAGAGCTCCGAGACAGCCCAAGAGCCCCAACATGGCCCCAAGACGGCCCAAGAGGCCGTCCAGACAGCTCGCGGCGGCCGAAGATCAATGATTCTTCCATGGTTTTCGGCCGATTTTCAGGTTCTCTTGATTTCGAGCGAAGAGGGGCCCAAGACGGCTCCGGGGCCCCCCCACGAATACTCCAAGGCTCAAAATGCTCTGGCAAGGGCCCCAAGACGGCTCAGGAGTGCTCCAAGACGGCTCCTGGAGGAACCCAAAACAGCCCAAGAGAGACGAGAGAGCCAAGACGGCGCGAGAGAGCCTCCAGGAGCCCCCGGAACGGCCCCAAGAGCCGCCTAAGAGGGCTTACAGGGAGCTCCGAGACGGCCCAACACCCCCAATATGGCCCCTACACGGCCCCAGAGGCCGTCCAGACGGGGCGCGGCAAACGAAATCATTGATTTTCTTATGTTTTTTGAACAATTTCCATTTTCTCGTCATTTCGAGCAAAGACCGGCACAAGACTCCAAGACGCGCCCAGAGGCCCCTGGGAGGGCCCCCCAACGGCCTCACACGACCCCGGGACGGCTCTAGCGGCGCCCGAGACGGCCCAAGCCGCACCCAATGACAGCCCCAAGACAAGAACAGCCGCGCTTGGATGGCGCATCGGCAGGAGATGTGCACACGCATTCGAAGGAACTGTCACTGAGCCTCGGCCGCCCACCACTTGCAAGCTCTGCGCAACTGGCGCCCGAGGGTAAGCAGCAGCACTCCGTCTGAAGAGGAAGGGGGTGGGGGCATGCGGGGATGGGGAGAGGGAGGAGGGAGGCGACTGGGCAGAGCGAGGCAGCTCATCGCAGTCACACTGAGTGTTTGCAGTATTTGGCAGCTGCATCCCGTTCCCATGGAGAGGAATTCAATCTAATGTGCAAGCGGTCGGGGTCGTCTCCTGCGACTCTCAGCGCGCGGGCGTGCATGTAGCTGGTCCACTGCAAGCTCGGTCTGCCTCGGTTCTTCAGGGACCGCCATTCCCGTGGCATTCAAGAGTGCGCCTCGCCTGTATGGAAAGCCATTGTTTGCGGCAGCGATCGCGAAGGTGCCTTGCTAATCCACCATTATATTTAAGCTGCCTCTCCAATAATAGATTTGACAATGAAGGAGATTGTGTTTCAAGCTGGACGCGCTCATTGCTGATACTTGAAATCGATACAGACTGTTCTTGTCTGCTTGGAATAGCACGCAATATTCCAGCCCGTGCAATCAATACATTGGAGAAGGCGCAAGCTCTCAGTAATCGTAGATTGTGCTGTTTGGTCATGTTTGCGTGGCTCCAGGCAGTACATCATTTGTCAAATGCCCCGTTTGCTTCTCCGAGACGGCGCGTGATTTCAGACCTGGGCCGACCATCTGCGCATAAGGGACCGCCAAGATAAAAAAACGTTGTCCTTCGATTTGATTTCTTCTCCATGCGGCCCCACAACCGTAGCATCCGATATGATTCGCAATGATCATGTTTGGCCAGCGTCCAGGTCCAGCCCAAAAGTTTTCCCAATGTTTGACACGACACGGAAATGCCTCTGAAGTGACTCCGGACACTGTGCCACGAGCGGCATGTAGTCGGCGTAGAGCGCGTCATTCGTGACCACATACGACTTGTTCTTGAAGGTGCCTGGCTGCGCGTGGAAGTCCTTTGTCGACGGCATCAAGGAGCACCGACATAACGATTACGAGCAGGTAAGGAGATGAAGGACAACCTTGTGCAATTCCAGCCTGGCGAATCTTTTGCGATGATGTGGTTGCCCCATCTTTGACGACAAACATGTGCGCCTTCTAGATCGTGGTAGTCATGTTCAGCACGGCGGGTGGTACTCGAAAGTGGCGGTGTGCGAACAGTGGCCCCGCTGGTCTTATACGTTCAAAAGCTTAGCTCCAGTCTAGCCACAGCAAGAAGAGTTTCCCATGTTTGTTTTCCAAAGCAGCATTAATGAGTCTCCGCACTAAGAATAGTGCGTCGCTGGTGCCCCGGGCAGGCCGGAATCCATATTCAGATTCTCGTAGTTGTTCTTCCGTTCTTCCAGTCTTGAGTCGATGTAAAATTGTTTTGGCCAAAATTTGATAGCCCACTGCTAACAGAGATATGGGACTGTATTTGGATGGTTCGGAGGTGCCACCTTTTTTTTGAAAATTGATGCAACTGAAGCTTCTCGCCAATGCGCTGGTATGTTTTTCTTCTGCCAGCAGTCATCTTAAAGCTCTCTTAATATCTCTAGGGCCGCGCTGTTCCTCCATAGCGCGTGCCATAGATCAGGGGGTACTCCATCATTCCCAGCCGCTTTCTGCACCGTCAAATGTTGGACTGCTCGTCGAACCTCTTCCAACTTGATGCTAGCGACGTCGATGGGTAAGAAGCCGCTGTCTTCCGCTAAGTTCGAAAACTGCTCTGCCTCATGGCATAATTTTCATTGTTCTTTTTCCAAATGGTTGGCCATCGTTTCGGATCGCACCTCTGCGTCAACTAGATTGCCTGGGTATCTCGCAGACGCCCATATTCCATCGGCTGCCCTCTCTGGAGTGGTCGAATAGCTTGCCATCCGTTTTGTGTTATTGCTTCGTCCAGCCATGTCGGCAAGTGCCGAAAGTTGTATCTGTTTGTTGAGGCCTTTCATGTCTTTACATCCGCCCTGGCATTTCTACGGCGATTCCGCTCTTCGATAAGATCTAGCGTTCTCGTTGAGATCCATGGCCGGTGCTTCTGCGCGGGGATGGTTGGCAGAACATGTTGTGCAGATCCCAGCATGCATGTAGCCATGGATTGTGCCCTGGACTCCAGATCTGTACAAGGCGGGTTGCTCTCCCAACTGCGGGCAAGTGAATCTGCCTATGTATCTGCGGTGTTCTTGTTTTGTAGCGTCGTCAGATCTGCTTTGGGTGTTCTTGTTGGGCGCTCTCTCTTGGGGATGTCGGCGTCGAGGTCCACCATCTGCACGAAACGATGCGATCGGAGCGCCCTCCGCCGATCGCTCCAGATGGCCGTAACGCTGCTGAGCCAGCTTCGCTCAACTACAATCGGGGCGCTGAAGAAGGAACCCTTCTCGTTGGGGAGGGGCTCCGTGTTCCTTCATTGTTTCACAGTTCGCCCTAGGTTTTCTCCAGATTTTCGATGGGAAATCAAAGTTTCAGTTATGGAAAAAAAGGGGCCTCGTTCCTTATTTGGGGTTCCTTAGGTCAACGCCCCGATTTGTATTGGTTCTGCTGGATGGGTGCCCAGATCGCGGTAGGTCGCTTTGGCGTCGAGTCCTGCGTCGAAGAGTGTACTCGCAACGCACGCCTCCAGAGCACCACGCGATTCCAACAGTGACTCTCGGTTCGGCGTTGGCTCCCACTTCTCCCTGCAGGGTTCTCGAGAAGACAGGGTCCAATATCTTTTCCTTCTCTGGCATGACGTTGCAGGAGCCTCGCGTTGGAGTCCCCCGGCTGGACGGTTGGCCCATGAGATTTGCGTCTGTGAGTGCCAGTAGATGGGTAAACAATATCGTGGCGGATATCATACGGGGGAGGAGGAGGAGGAGGAGGAGGAGGAGGAGGAGGAGGATGAGGATGGCGGAGGAGGAGGAGGAGGAGGGCTCGTTTGTTCAAGCGTATACTGTAATCTCCAAGAATTCCACCAGATAGCTGGAGCCGAATGCTGGCCATTCTGTTGTCCTTCTGCATATACCCTTTGACGGCGTCTCATCCAGGGTGCCACTACGCATCCGACTCCTGCATAGTCTCCGCTGTCGTGTTCCATCCCAGAAAGAATCAGCAAGCATCCCTCGTGTTCCAAAATCTGTGAACCACGGCCATGTGTCTCTTGAAAACATAGCACGCTGATATTCGATTCAGACATGTGCCTAGTTTTCTCGTACAAGTTGTGTGGCTTCTCCGGGCTGATGCCTTCGACATTCCAGGAGGCAATTCTTCCACACAGTATTGGCGAACATGGAAATGTGACCCATTTGACTCGTCGTACTTGTAGTGCCGATGCGCCGTCGCATTTCCTGCTGGTTGCCCTTCTTTCCCTTGCAGCTGCCTTTAGCGCGCTGGAGGGCCCCATTGGCGCGATCGGATAGGTCAGAAGCCTCTGGGCTGTTTGTAAGATCGGCCCAAGCAACCCATGCTCCACACCACGTAATCTGGAGAGCGGACCCGGCGCACGTGACACACAGGTTCTTTAGCCTTTTTGAGCTCCTGTTCAGGAGTATCCACACCTACCTCGCGTTTGGAATAACCCCATCCCAAGAATGTCTTACGCAAGCCGAGCAAGAAACTCTCTGGGACTCTTTTTTGCCGATGGTTGCTCTGGGCGCGTCCAAATCATGTTTCCCTGATGCTTCAATGGAGCTTTCACCAGAAATGTCACGAATGTGTCCCGGGCATTGGCCGTGGAAAACTTTGCGAAGGAGATTTGCTGGAACGTGTCGCCTTTTATGAAGGTCTCCTTAGGCTCCAGAGCTCCGAAGCGAAGCGCTTGTTCATTGACCCACGCTGACGCGTCCCGCAAGGTATCGAAATTACCCAATCCACCAATGACAGCATTGCACTAAGACTGCTTTATCGTGGTGAGTTCCGCCATTTGGCGCTCGATCTCAATGAGTTTCGCCTCAACTGAGAAAGCCAAACTGCGTGAGGAACCAGTCTCATAATCGACATCTGGACGATGTGGAAGCAACTCGAGAACGGCAACCCGCGCAGTAATATCATCGACAGCCGTCTTCAAAGACTCCACCGCGTTCCGCAGGTCTTGTTGCGATACGCCGTGCTGCTTGATCGCACGATTGTCGTTCTGGATCGGTTGAAGTTGGCCGCAATATTTGCTTGAATTGCCCAGCTGTTGGGCCATCCATATCATTACCCGACTGAACTGGCGGCTGTGGCAAGGTCGTCGTCGATTAGTTGTTGATGTACGGCTTGAAGATCTTCCAGGCCATTCATCTCCGGTAGTGGACTGTGGATGCGATGGTGCTTTGCTCTACCCGCAGGGTGCTGCAAAACGTCCTTGACGGGGGTGCCAGCTCTGTTTGTTTGTTCTGTCGCAGGCGGACGCGAAGTAGCTTCCCCTAGTTACTCTCCATCCGAATTGAGGGGAACACGAGAAGCCACGATGTAATCAAGATCCTCGGTGAGCATGCAAACAGTGCAGTTCTGTTGGGAAACAGGGATGTAAGAGTAGTAGGACTCTCAGTGCAGGGGATCACTTGAGCCACAGACTGGCCCAAGACGGCCCCAAGACCGCCCAACCACTCCTTCTCCGAGACGGCTGTACAGGCCCCCACCGCCCCGTCTCCAAGTCTTTCCGTCTGCACAGTCTCCAAGACGGCTGTACAGGCCCCCAGATCGCCCCATGCTGCCCCCAGACGCCCAGGAGGGCCCCGAAAGGGCCCCGAAAGGGCCCGAGGCGGCCCCGGGACGGCTCTAGCGGCGCCCGAGACGGCCCAAGAAGCACCCAAGACAGCTCCAAGAGCGCCTAATGGCGGCCCAGGTGGCTCCACGACGGCTCCAAGATGACCCGAAAGGCGCCCAAGACGGCCCCACATCGCCCAAGACGGCCCAAGAGGCACTCAAGACGGCCCAATAGGACCCCGAGTGACCCCCAGGAGGACGAAAAGAGGTCCCCAAACGGCACCCAAGAGGCCTTGGATGCTTCTCTCCTGGGGAGCGTTGAACTTCCCGGGTCGTCTTGGGGGCTTCTTGGACCCTCTGGTAGCCATCTCTGGTCCTTTTGAGGACGTCTTGGGGCGGCGCTCTCGAAGGGTCGATTCGTGTCCTCGCACTGGGGCCCGTTTTAGGGAGTTCGCGGGGCCCTCTTGGGCCGTCTGGGCAGCCTCTTGCAGGCCGTCTCGGCGCCTTCTTGCGGGCCTCTTAGGCCGCGCCCACATGCCCCATTCTCACCATACTACCAGATCAAATCATCATTAGGCCCCGGCGAAGAGCAGATAAGCTTATCATAGCGCCGCGCCCGCAGAAGCTATGATGAAAACAGGCTGCGGCGTGAGAAGCAGCTTCTGTCCACACCATGTCGTGCCTACATGGGTGTGCTTCCATTGACACCGCCTTCACTACCGCGTTCCTGCCTTCAGGCCTGCTTGCCTGCATCCCTCGCCCACCTCCCCCTCCAGCGGCCACCTCCATCCACGCCGTCCCCTCTAACCTCCCCTCACCCGCGAGGCCCCCCAGACGCTCCACTTCCACGTCCACGCCCCAGCGGGCAGATCCCGCGGCCAGATGGCCGTGGGTCAGCCCTAGTCTCTCCTACATGGCCAGTGGAAGCGCGTGCGAGAAGCTCAGGGCATCAAGTGCATAGAATCGCCCCTTTACGGCGCCACCACGGGGCCGAATCGCTCAGACCGGTCCCAGAGGCGCTCCAGAGGGGTTCCCAGACCGTCCAAGAGCGCTCCAAGACAGCCTCAGTGGGTCCCGAGACGGTCCACGAGGGCCCAAAGCCTTCCGGGGGGGGGCTCGCTCCACGACGATCCAAGAGGCCGCAAAGACGCCCCAAGAGGGCCCCGAGCGCACGCCAAAGAGGCACAAATCCTCAAACTCCTATGAGAAAGCGTATATTTTCAGCATGCCCGCCTTGCGTGCTCCTCAGCGGCCCAGGACACGCCAAGAGGCCTCCCAAATCGCCCCAAGAAGACGCCAGCGGCCCCTAAGAGGGCTCCAAGACGGCCCACAAGAGCCCCAAGACGACGTCACAGAGCCCTGAAACGGCCTCACAGAACCCCAAGACGACCCCAAGCGAGCTCCGAGGGGGCCCCAGGAGGCTCCCAGGACGGCCTCAGGCAGCCTCAAGAGAGCTCCAAGACGGTCCAAGGCCTCCCGGACGCCCCGTGACGGCCCAAAATGGCCTCAAGACGTCCCAAAACGCTCCCAGAGCAGCCCCAAAAAGCCTCAGAATGGCCCGAAAAAGACCCCCACAAGGACCACCAAGCAGGCCCAGAGACGCCCATTAAAAGAGCGATCGGTGAAGTACAAAGCAGGTGAAGGTGAAGGTGGAGCCCAACGCCGTTGGCACGAACGTGTGTCAACGAAATTACCCCCATGCTTTGCTTCCGGACGGTGTTCGTTTACCGATGCCGTCTGGCTCAATAGGGGGCCACATGCGAACCCTACCCCTACCCGGCCCTACCCCCCACGATTTCTGAGGGGGAGGGTGGAGTTCACTTCGCTCGGGAGCTTCCGAGTGAAGTGAACCCCACCCTCCCCCTCAGAAATCGTGGGGGGTAGGGGTAGGCTTCGCATGTGGCCCCCTACTCAAGACAGCGGACCCTCAGCGCAGGGTCGGAACAAAAATGAGAAAAACGCCATCATTCCTCCATGGTCGAGGAGAGCGCGTGCCAGAAGGACCTGGCCGCAGGTGTCCAACATCGCCGCGGCGGGCCCCGAAGAGGCCCCAGGGGCGCCGGCCCAAGACGGCTCCAGGGGGGCCCCGTGATGGCCCCAAGCCGGCCGAAGGGAAGGCAGGCCTGGGCCGGCCTCAACAGGCTCGGGAGGGCCCCAAGACGGCCATGCCAAGAGGCGCCCCAACAGGGCGCCGAGCGGCCAGAACCATGGAGTTCTCATAGGTTTTTTGTAGATTTGGACGTCCTCGCCTTTTTGGGCTTCCGATGCTCCACCTCGGCCCCAAATGCTCCCAAGATCGCCCAAGCAAGGCCCCGCCAACCTCCACGAGACCCCCCAGACGGCCCATCAGGGCCCCAAGACCGCCCGAGCAGCCCCCAAGACCGCCCCAGGCGGGCCCCAGCGGGCTTCCGGTCCAAGATGGCCCAAAGATGGGCCCCTGGACAGCCCACGGAGGAGTCCAAGAGGGCCTCAAGTTGGCCCTCAGGAGCCTCTGGAGAAACCCATGACGGCTTAAGATGACCCGAAGACGGCTCTACGACAAGCCTGAGAGATTCCCCAGACAGCCACGTGCCCCAAGAGGGCCCCAAGCCGACCGACCCAAGAGGGACCCACAGAGGTTCCCAAGGGACCCCTCAAACTGCCCCTGAGGAGCTTGGTACAGCCCCAAAGAGCCCCCCAGATTTTGCAATTTCTTGCAAAATCGGTTTGGGCGAGCCTGCCACGGATTTTGCACGTCCCTTGGCCGCAAGCATTCTTACGGCGGGAAGCACAGCAGTTGTCGAAGAAGTCCGCGACGGGCCGACTCTGGCGCGGCAGTGCTTTCGGCCCCGCACCCAGGGTCTGACTTGAGGCACAGGCTACCCGAAGCCTGGGATTTGTTCTTCGCCGTGAGAACTCTCACCGCCGGAACAAACCCAGCGGGGGTTGCAGTTATGACGACAAGGACGACGGTAACGACTGCGACCGCGACCCCAACGTCATCCTGAAAGCCTGTCGGCAACATCTGCGCCTAGACCCCACGAGGCTCGCTGACGAGCCTTCGTGGACGTAGTCCACGGGTTCGCCCTAGTCAGCTACAATGCTGGGATCAGCGCGTGTGAGAAGGGCGGGCAGTGGCAGCGAGCGCTGTCCATTCTCCGCGAATTCTGGAATGCAGAGGTGGAGCCCGACGTCATCAGTTACAGCGCTGGAATCAGCGCGTGCGAGAAGTGTGGGGAGTGGCAGCATGCCCTGTCCTTGCTGAGTGAAATTTTGGAAGCGAGAGTGAGGCTGGACATCATCATCTTCGGTGCGGGGATCAGCGCGTGCGAGAAGGGCGGTCAGTGGCAGCAGGCGCTGTCCATGTTCGGCGATTTAGAAAAATATAAGGTAGAGGCAAATACAGTGAGCTATAACGCTGCGATCAGCGCGTGTGAGAAGGGCGGGCAGTGGCAGCGAGCGTTGTCCCTGCTCAGCGAGCTGTGGGAGGCGAGCCTGGAGCCAAGCACAGTCAGCTACAATGCCGGAATCAGCGCGTGCGAGAAGGGTGAGCAGTGGCAGCGGGCATTCTATTTGCTCAGCGAGTTGAGGGAATCGAGGCTAGAGCTGGATGTCATCAGTTACGCCGCCGGAGCCAGCGCGTGTGAGAAAGGAGGCCAGTGGCAACTTGCACTGTTCCTGCTTGGCGAGATGCCGGGGGCGAAGCTGGAGCCGAATACCATCAACTACAACGCCGCTATCAGCGCGTGCGAGAAAGTCGGGGAGTGGGAACAGGCGCTGTCTCTACTCAGTGGCTTGTTTGAGGTGAGGTTGGAGCCGAGTGCAATCAGCTACGCTGCTGGCATCGGCGCATGCGGGAACGGCCTTGTATGGCAGCAGTCTCTGTCGTTGATCAGCGAGATGCACGAGGTCAATGTGGAGCCAGATGAAATTGGCTACAACGCTGGCATCAGCGCGTGCGAGAAATGTCGGCAGTGGCAGCATGCGTTGTCTTTGATGGGCGGCATGCTGAAGCTTCAGCTGGACCCGACGGTCGTAACTTTCAGTGCTGGAATCAGTGCGTGCGGTCAAGGTTCGGGGGTGGACAGAACCCCCAACAGCGACACGTCGATTAGTGAATTGTCCGTTTTCGATTCTCGAGAGGGCGCCGTGGCCGTTATTTTCCAGGCTTGCGGTCGCCAGGTTTGGGCCTCAGGTCGTTTTCACTAAACCACGTTTTACTAAAGGGGGGTCTGTCCATCCCCGAAAGGTGGGCAGTGGCAGCACGCCTTAGCATTGCTCGAGAGAATGCTGGCCGCGAGGTTGGAGCCCAACGCCATCAGCCACACGGCCTCGATCAGCGCGTGCGGAAAGGCAGCGAAGTGGGAGCAGGCGCTGGCCCTGTTCGGCGAGCTGAAGGCTGCGACGCCATCACCGCCTCCTCCTCCCAGCTCTCCCTGCTTCGCTTCCCCTCCTTCCTACGCCCTCGTCCTTGTCCTCTGCGTTCGTTCCTTCGCCGTCTTTCTCGGTCTTCGCCTTCCTCCTCCGCAGTCCTCCTCTTCCTCCTCGTCGTTGTCGTCGCCGCTGTCGTCCTCCCCCTCCTGCAGTCGTGAAGTTAAGGGCTCGTCCAGACGATGTGCTGCAACAGCGTGTTCTCATTCATAGGCACGTTGTTGGCGCAGCAGCAGCCAAGAGGACGCCTTGTTGGCGTGCGTCCCCGGACCAGAGGTGTCCTTCCACAGCGGACACGCTCAGTCCGAAGGGGGCTGGCACATCATGCCTATTTCAGAGCCCCGAATCATCAGGGGTAACTCGGGTCAGGGATAGCTCGGGTTCGTTTGCCGGGCATCCCAACCCGAGTTACCCCGGACTCGAGTTATCCCGGAGAACTCGGGCGTCCAGAGCCCCGAATCATCGGGGGTAATTGGGGTCAGGGCTAACTCGGGTTCCTTGTTCGGGAATCCAAACCCGAGTTCCCCTGGACCCGAGTTACCCTGGATAACTCGGGCGCCCAAATATTGTTGCCTTTCAAAGATGGTCGGCGAATTTCTGGTTACCAGCCGAAGCCTCTCCACAGCTATCTGCCGCAGGAGCTTTGCAGCTTGAAGTCAGCTTCGGCCAGGCTGCCGCGCGCAGATACGAGACCGTCTTAGCGTCCTCGCCGAAGAGTGTGAGCGCCGCAAATTTCACACTGGGCTCCGCCGTCCTGCGCTCCACTCAGTGCTGTGGTCGCGGGGGCGGGGGGCTGCACCCTTTTGCACGTTCGCGTGCCCGTGGATTTGAAAGGGCCCGCGGGACAAGGAACATTGCGGAAGGCTTTCCTGCAGCGCAACGCGCCTCCGAATGCGGGGGGAGTCGTCAAGGGCTCGTCCAAACGATGTGCTGGAACAGCGTGTTGTCATTCATAGGCACGTTGTTCGCGCAGCAACAGCCATTAGGACGCCTTGTTGGCGTGCGTCCCCGGACCAGAGGTGTCCTTCCACAGTGGGCATGCTCAGTCCGAGGGGGCGGGCACATCATGCCTATTGTTGCCTGTTTCAAAGATGGTAGGCGAATTTCTCCTACTCCTCTTCTCCCTTCGTTCCGTCTCCCTTTTCCCTTCTTTTCGTCTTCCCTCCTCCATCCCCTGCGAGAGGAGGCAGGAGGAAGGAGGGATGACGACCGCAGGAGGGAGAAGAAGGCAGCAAGGAGGAGTAAGGAATAATGATGAAGGAAGGACAACATGGGTGTGGAAGGAGGGTGACACATACGGGTGATCACGACGACGATTATGAGGAGAGTTAATTATGAGGAGCAGCAGCAGCTTGAGGCGGGAGGAGTGTAGGACGATGCGGATACTGATGATGATGCGGATGATGATGACGAGGGAAGGCAGGACGATGAGGATGAATATGAGGACCGTTGATTATTGATGACAGATGGTGGTGATGATGACGAGGACTACGACGAGGAGGAGGAGGACGACGACGGTGTTGATGATGCTGATGATGAGGACGATGCTGATGGTCATGATGATGCTGGTGATGATGATGATGCTGATGATGACGATGATGTTGGTGATGACGATGGTTATGATGATGAAGCTGACGATGACGACGATGCTGATGACGATGATGACGATGATGATGATGATGGTGATGGTTACGGTGATGGTGAGGATGATGATGATGTTGCTGATACTGATGATAATGCTGCTGGAGATGATGACGATGCTGATGCCGATGATGATACTACTAATGCTGCTAATGATGATGCTGATGATGATGATCATGAGGATGCACCTGATGGTGATGATAATGCTGATGATGCTGATTATGATGATGCTGGTGATGATGAGGATGGTGCTGATGCTAATGATGATTATGATAACGATATGATGGTGGTGATGATGATGCTGATGATGATGATGACGTTGATGCTGATTCTGAAGATGATGATGCTGACGATGATGATGATTGTGATGATGATGATGACGATGGTGATGGTGATGGTGGTGATGATGCTGATGAAGCTGATGCGCTTCTGATGATACTGATGGTGATAAGGATGATGACGCCGCTGATGATGATGATGATGCTACGGATGATGATTCTGATGATGATGCTGATGACGATGATGATGATGATGATGATGATGCTGATGGTGGTGATGATGACGATGATGATGACGATGCGGACGATGATAATGATGAGGATCATGATCAGGATGCTGCTGATGATGATGATGATGATGATGATGATGATAATGGTGATGATGATGGTGATGATGATGATGATGATGATGATGATGATGGATGATGATGATGATGATGATGATGATGATGATGATGATGATGATGATGATGATGATGATGGTGGTGATGATGATGATGATGATGATGATGATGATGATGATGATGATGATGATGATGATGATGCTGATGATGGTGTTGGTGGTGATGATGATGCTGCTGATGATGATACCGATGATGATGAAGTCATGATGCCATGATGATGCTGCTGATGACGAAGATGATGAGGAGGAGTTTGATGATGGTGATGGAGGAGAGGATTATGACAGTAGGTGGCGGGGGATGAGAGGATAACGAGCAGCGGACGGAAAGAGTATGAAATGAGAAGGGTAAGGAGGACTAATCGGGGAAGGATGACATATGATGGTTATGATGTAGATGACGATGGCGATGATGATGACGATGCCGAAGACCCTAATGATGAGCAGGCCGGAGAAGAGGTGAAGGAAACGGAGGAGGAGGATTTGGAGGAGGAGGACGATGGGGAGGCGGAAGGAGGAGGTGGAGGGCATGACGATGGAGAATGATGATGATGATTCTAATGATGATGATGAAGAAGAAGAAGATGGTGATGATGATGATGGTGATGGTCAGGGTGGTGGTGATGATGATGCTGATGATGATCATGCTGATGCCGATGCTGATGCTGATGGTAATGATGATGATGATGAGACGAGGATGATGATGATAATGATGGTGATGGTGATGGTGACGGTGATGGTGATGCTGATGATGATGCTCATGATGATGACGATGATGATGACAAATATGATGATGAAGATGAAGATGAAGATGACTATGAAGATGATGATGATGATGATGATGATGATGATGATGATGATGATGATGATGATGATGATGCTGATGATGATGATGATGATGATGATGATGATGATGACGATGATGACGATGATGCTGATGATGATGATGATGATGATGATGATGATGATGATGATGATGATGATGATGATGATGATGATGATATGATGAGGAGGAGGAGAGGAGGAGGAGGAGGAGGAGGAGGAGGATGAGGATGATGATGATGATGATGATGATGATGATGATGATGGTGGTGGTGATGATGATGATGATGATGATGAGGAGAAGGAATAGGAGGAGAAGGAGGCGACGACGGAGGAGGAGAAGGAAGAGAGGAGGAGGAGGATAAGGAAGAGGAACAGGAGCAGGAGGAGGAAGAGGAGGAGGAGGAGGAGGAGGAGGAGGAACAGAGGGAGAAAGATGAGAAGGGGAAGGAGGACGTGGGGGTAGGGGTATGACGAGGAGGCGGAATGAGGAGGCTGGAAGAAGGACGAGGATGAGGATGAGTTGAAAGAGGGACAAGAAGGAGAGGGGGGGAGGACGACGTCTGCGGCGACGGGCCCTCCTCCTCTTTGTCCTCCTCGCTGTCCTCCTCTTTGTCCTCTTCTTCCTCAGTATCCTCTTCTTGCTTCTTTGTCATCCTCTTTGTCCTTTTCTTTGTCCTCTTTGCCCTCGTCTTTGTCTTCTCAGTATTCTCCCACTGTCCTCATCCTTGTCCTCTTCTTCCTCAGTATCCTCTTCTTGCTTCTTACTAGTATCCGCATGGGCTTCGCCCCCTGCCGCCGGCCCTCTCTTTCGGATAATGGGGTATGGAAGAGCTATGTTGTGAGGCCTGGGCGCAGTCGTGAAGCAGCGTCGGAACTCCGAACGAGGGCCACTGGAGATATGAGCGTGCCAAAATCTACCAACAACCTGAGGCACATCGCAGATGTTGGCCTCATGGGCCCCTCTTGGGGGTGCTCTTGGAGCGCTCTTGTGGGCCTCTTGGGAGCCTCGTGAGCCGTCTTGGGACGCCTTGGAGCACGCTTGGGCCGTCTCGCTGGCCTCTTGTACCGTCTTGGGGTTAGGGGCCTTCTATGGAGGATTGGCGTCGAAAGCGCGAAGAAGATTTCGGGGACGCTAAGACAGCGTAATTCACGAGGGATCGTGGCTTCGGGGGCGCAATTCTTGTTTAATTTTGCCTCGGAGACGCTAGTATGGATACTTTGCTGGGAATTATGATCTCGGGAGCGCGTACACAGCGTAGTTTGCAAGGGCTTATGGCCTCTGGGACGCGAGTATTGTAGAATTTACTGGGGATTATGACCTCGGGGGCGCGACGATGGTGTACTTTACGGGAGATTATGGCTTCGGGAGCGCGAGTCTCATGTATTTTCACGTCGCCCAGGACCCCCCAGAAATTCTGAGAATCCCCCAGGTGGTGGTAACCAGGGCCCTTTTCGGCTCCCCCTCTCGCGCGGCCTTCAACAGTTCACAGTAGGAAGCAGAAAGCAGGATTACAATGTGGGAGACTTGAAGCTGAACTGGAGCAGACAGCAGCAAGCCTATCCCGCGGAGCCTTGTGGCCCCACAAGGGGGCCAGCGGATCAATTCGCTCATTCCGTCAGCCCATATCTGTTCTGATGGGGCAATCATCGCCCCCCCTTGGATCCGCTGGGGGGGTTGGGCACGTGCCGTCGGAACGGCTGAAGGGTGGTTTGGAGCAGGAGGAGGAGAAGGGGAGAAGGATGATGGGGAGGAGAAGGAGGAGGAGGACGAGGAGGAGGAGGATGAGGAGGAGGACGATGAGGAGGAGGAGGCGGAGGAGGAGGAGGAGGAGGAGGAGGGAGGAGGAGAAGGAGGAGTTGGAGGAGGAGGAGGGGGAGGAGGAGCGGAGGAGTAGGAGGAGAAGGAGGAGGAGGGAGGAGGAGGAGGAGGAGGAGGAGGAGGAGGAGGAGGATTGGAGGAGGAGTTGGAGGAGGAGGAGGGGGAGGAGGAGGCGGAGGTGGAGGAGGAGGAGGAGAAGGAGGAGGAGGAGGAGGTAAAAAAAGGTAAAGGCGCTTAGGGGATGAGTTCG